GGACTATTCATAACAACCCAGAAGTAAAATTCTAGAAAATATCAACATTAAGAGTGAAGGGAGGGTTAGAGAAATCAAAGAGCTTAAGAGTGTACCAAAGTTCTTGTCTTGGTAGGAACAAGAAAGAAAATCATGCTTTAAAAGACAGAAAGAAGAAAAAAGAGACAAGTATGATAAATTAAAAGAGTGTAGAAACAAATCTAAGTATTTCAGTAATCACAACAAAGGGAAATGAACTAAACTCACTAGAAAAAAGACAGAGATGATTATATTTGATAATAGAAACAAAAGTTAGCTATATGCTTGTCATGGACGGACTTGTGTCCCCCCAAAAATATGTGTCAATTTGGCTAGGGCTTAAGTCACACCCTTACTTATGTCACATACTCTAACTCAAGTCATACTCTTGCTTGAGTCATACTTTTTATTTTAGAGATAAAAGGAGACAGGAGCAGAGAGGAGAGGACCCTCACTACTACCAAGAAAGAAGAGCTGAGAGTGGAGGGTGTCCTTTGGACCCAGGGTCCCTGTGCTGCGAACGTCCTAGACCCAAGGGAAGACTGATGCCAAGACACATGGAGATCTCCAAGGAAAGTCTAGCCTATAGATGCTGAAAGGAGACGAGGACCTTCAACTAGAACCAGGCCCTGAATTAGGACTTCTACCCCCCTAAAGTATAAGAAAATATATTTCTGTTTGTTAAGGCCATCCACTTGTGATACTTCTGTTATAGCAGCATTAGATAACGAAGACAAGATAAGAGACATACCTGAATTATGCTGTTGTTGTTGGCTACCATCAAATCATCAAGGCAGCTGATCTGCATGGTCACTTTATGTATAAGGACAAGGAAAGGTTTAAAGTAGAAACGATAATAATAGAGACCACAGTCATAAGAAAACTGAAAGAAAGCTGATACAGCTTCAGTGAAATAAAATACGTAGACCTTAACACCAGCAACACCATTAAGGAGAGAGGGACCCACTATATAATTGCTAAAGGTTAAGTTTACCATGAAGGCATAACAAGTCTAAACTATGAATCTAATACAATATGTTATTGTTGTTGTTATGTGCTGTTGAGTCAGACCTGACTCATAGTGACTCCTTGGGTTTTAACCGCCAGCCTTCTGGTTAGCAGTCAAGTGCTTTAGGCACTATGCTACCAGAGCTCCCTATACAATATATATAAAGTAAAAAGTAATCAAACTCTTGAGAGAAATTAATAAATCCACCCACTGATTTATTATTGTCAGGCCAAGCAGAAAGAAAGCAAGCTAAGATAAAGATAACATATAGGCTTGAACAATAAAATTAACAAGCGAGATATAATGAACAAATACAAACTTCTACAT